CGTCAAAGAGACAAGTGAAGCCGATTCTTTGACCAAACGTGTGCAAAACAGCTGTGGTATCTCCCCTTCTACCCTATTCTATTCATATTTCCTATGTCCTCTTATCACACCTTCACTGTTACAATTTGTACAGTGCTTATTTCGATGTTGTATGATATGGTCCTTTGAGCGGCATCTATCAGAACTCTTCACACTCCACGCTGTCGTTATCACCTCCGTCTTCACTCTTGTGCTAAGGATGTTGATCAGAGTCTGCCTTATTGTTACGCAGTCCTCCTGCCCTAGACCTTATCACAGTCTCTCTCTTGCCCCGTTAGATCAGTCTGCTCTCTCCCTGGTTCACTCGACCCCTGCCACCCCCATCTGTGCTACTCGAGGTGTTATTCGCCCTCCTCTGCGTCTGGGTGACTAGTTCTAGGCTCAATCCTGTGAGTAAGTATCATCGTCAAGCCTTTGCTGCAGGTATCACGTCTATGGTACAACAGACCTACAGTCAGCCAAGCCTATGACTTTCCATGCTCTAGTTTCTTGTGTGCCAACCCACGAGCGTTGTACCATAGACGTGGTACATGTAGCAAAGGTTTGACGATGAGACTTACTCAGAGGCTTAACCTTCGAATTAGTCACCCAGACGCAGGGGAGGGCGATTAACGCCTCAAGTAGCACAGATGGGGTGGCAGGGTTCGTGTGAAATACGTAAACCAGGGAGAGAGCAAAAACGGATCTTACGGGACAAGAGAGAGACTGTGATAAGGCATAGGGAAGGAGGACTGCATAACAATATGGCAGACTATGATCAACATTCCCAGAAAAAGGGTGAACGGGATGAATACGACAGCGTGGAGTGTGAAGAGTTCTCATGAATTCCGCTCAAAGGAGCACACTACACTACATCAAATTAGGACGGTACAAATTGTAACAGTGAAGGTGTGATAGTAGAATATAGGAAATATAAATAGTAATTTTTACTTAACGTCTTGCCAATATACGTTACATTCAATGTATTCCCTATTCGGCTTATTTCGATAGACTCTCTCATTTGACGTTCCGCCGCAAACATGCCATAATCAGCAAAACGAGAAGTTTGCGATCATTCAAACTCGTGTCCCGTTTCTGGCCTGTGCTGAGCAAGCTCCGATTTATGAACTCAACAGCCTTTGCAGGCGCTTTTGTGCTCAGCCACCCTTTGTCAAATGGGACGACATGTCTCTCCAACATAAAAGAGAGCACATGAACACATTATCCTATAGCAACCCGATCTGGATAATGGGTCAACTTTCTTTCCAAAAGTGGGCATAACGGAAGAAAGTGTCGTAGTTTCCCTGAAGACCGTTTTAATTCCCCACTTCTTACTTGATCACTTCTTCTTTTAGAGAGAATGCACGAAGGTACAGACAAAACATGAGAAAAGGTCTCCTTATTTCACCTTACGTATTCACCATTCAAAAGCTATTCTTTATTAATTTAATGCTATTTTTAATCAAGTCTAGGGGATAATTACTCTCAAGAAATATTATTTTAAACTAATTCAATTCGTTTCCACAATGGCCTCTACCGGCCAGTCTTATGCCCCGAATAATCATAGATTGTAAAACTACAACCTTTGTTTTGTAACTATGATTGGAGCAGCACGTACTTTACCTTTAATGATAAGGTTTATAAACAGGTGCAAGGCTTAGAAATGGACTCTTGCTTGGCTCTCAGTTTGGCTAATAATTACATGTCAAGAATGGAGGAACACTTCATGGAAGAGGTAAGATTGACACCCAAACTTTTAGTTAGATTTACGGCTGACTACTGTGCCATATGGCAGCATGGCAAGGATAGTTTAGATAATTTCTTGTTTTTAATTAGCCAGATTGACTGCAATATTAAATTGACAATGGAGATGGAGGTCAACAATAATTTAGCATTTTTAGATATCTTAGTGATCAGAGGAGGTGAAAAGTTAAGCAGGGATTTCTATAGAATGTGAACACATGCTGGCCTTATAT